GCCGTATGGCTGGACCGCCGGCGACGGTGACGTCCTGTCTAGACGTCGCCGACGATGGACAAACGTCCTGGCCAGACGTCGCCGGCGATGGACAAACGTCTTGGCCGGACGTTCGTCCGTCGCCGGCGACGCCCGGACAGGACGTCGCCGGTAGTTTTTTTTTTAATTTAAATTATTATTATTAAATTTATTTTATATTACAAATATTTATGTAGCAAAATTTATTCAATGAAAGAATTTATTATTATTAATTAGTTTTACATCGGAGTTAATTGTTGTTATGATTTATAAAATTTATTTCAATTTGGATTTAGATTATGAATATTAGGTTGTATTGATTAATAAATATACGAAAACTTAATGATTTAAATATAGAAATTTATTTCATGGAAGGTATTAATTGTAGTACGAATCTTAAATTGTAATTGATAAATTTATTTAGCAAGGAAATTAAGTTAGAATTTATTGTGAAATTCATTATAATCCGAACATTATATTGTGATCGGGAAATTTATTATAATTGAAATTATATACGAATATTATTATAATGAGAAATATACGAACATTCAATCATTTTAATATACAAAACTTATTCTATGAGAACGAGTAATTATCATATGATGATCGGCGAGAAAGGCGGTGGTGACGCGGTGATGATGATCGGCAGATATGGCTTCCGGCGACATTGGTCGACCAACGAGGGTTGCTGGCAATGATTGTTTGGAGAGTGTATTTTGAAAAAAGAGAGTTATTTTTTGCCAGGGATATTTTAGTGAATTTAGTTTTTTAGGGCTATAAATCATGGTCCATGAAACCGTACCGGAGACCGTACCGGAAAAGTCAGCTGTAGGGTATTTTATGGTAAAATCGTGGTTTTATCGTAGTTCAACCGTTATACCGTTAACTACCGCCTACCGGTTTAGCCTCCAATACTGGTATTTCGTGGTTGAACCGCCGGTACGGTACGGTTTCATGGACCATACTATAAATAAGCTTTATTTAGGGCTACAAATAGCACACCCCAAAAAATTCCATTGCCGGGAATCGAACCCGGGTCTCCTGGGTGAAAGCCAGATATCCTAACCGCTGGACGACAATGGATTGATATTCGTTCCGACGATTATGTTTTTAAATACATAACCAATTCTCTGTGGGAGGAAGCCAACGAAACGTGGACAAATCTGTGACTAGAAACAAAATAAATTGAAAACTAAAAGTCAATTGGAAAAATTCGAGGAACAGATCACAAAATATTTCCATCTGATTTGTGATCGTTGCAGGAAGAAATTCAATCACGCACAGACTTGAACAGATTTCCCCCATCTTCTTCCTCCTCACCAGTCCCCCTCGCCTTTGCTGCTTCCTATCGTCGGTAGGGTTTTTCCTTCGGAGGGGAGCCACTGGTTCTTCTTCAGATCCCCGGATATTGGAAAATTGTCTGCTTCCCCCAAAATGTACGGATTCGAGGCACTCACCTTCAACATTCACGGTGGCTACCTGGAAGCCATCGTCAGGGGCCACAGATCGGGGCTTCTCACCGCCGCTGATTACAACAATCTCTGCCAGTGCGAGACGCTGGATGACATCAAGATGCACCTCTCTGCAACCGAGTACGGGCCCTATCTTCAGAACGGTGCGTTCCTTTTCTCTCTCTTTCTAACACGATACTGTGGCAATTGGCAACGATCATGGGTTCAGTTCGTTAGTGTTGGGAATCAGAGATGGGAGAGTGGAAATTTTGGATCTTGTGTGCGCTTCCTTTGGCTGGTTATTAGTTAGGTCGCTGGATGTGTATTCGAATTCTGAATCTTGTGTTGCTGCGAAGCTGAATTGCCCCTTCACTCTCTTAGCTGATTGAAAAATTGTGATGTCAGTGAATCAGTGCTTGGATTGGAAGTTATGGACTTACGTCGTCCCTGTAGCTTCAGTATCCTTAGTTACTTATGATTTTTCCTCGATTCTCTGCCTAACTACAGAACGCCCTTCATTTTAGTTTGAGAATTCTGGATTTTGAGCTAGTTTGATACTGTTTTGAACTTGAGGTGATTTCTTGAGCATGATCTACTTCGCGTCGGATAGCACCTCATCTTTAATTCAAACCTGTATGTCTAACGAAGGGATCATTCCTATTGTGTTCTCCTCTTTCGCTAGTAAGGTTGAAGCAGAACAGAATAAGAGATCATTCCTATTGTATCATTATTGTTCGTCAACCATGTTTTCTCCTGCCTTATTGCGTTCAGTGCCCACTGTGTCATATTTGTCAATGTATTAAGTTTGTCTCGAGCTCCAAATTTCTGTTTTTTCTTTTGTTTTACAGCTCCGAAGCTTCTGTTGCTGTGATATTCTGACTTTTGTTATTTGTTTGCAGAGCCTTCCCCCTTGCATACCACAACTATTGTGGAGAAATGCACCCTTAAACTTGTTGATGAATACAAGCACATGTTATGCCAAGCTACGGAGCCTTTATCGACCTTCCTAGAGTATTGCACGTATGTCGAAATTGGTTTTGGGAAATGCTCTTTTTTGTTCCCCCCTTTATGTTTACATTTATTTTTCTTCGTAGGATGGTGGCTTGCATAAATGGACTTCTGTCTTGTGCTCTGTGTTTTTGTTTTTAATAGATATGATTGGAAATAAAGATTAATCCTTTGCTCACTTCAACAGATATGGCCACATGATAGACAACGTTGTTTTGATTGTGACTGGAACTTTGCATGAGAGAGATGTCCAAGAGCTGTTGGAGAAATGCCATCCTCTTGGCATGTTCGACAGGTATCTGACCTATTCATTCTTGTTTCTCCGATGTTGGTGGTGTTTTTTTTTAATTGTTTCTCACTACTTAATGTGGAATCCTTTCAGCATTGCTACTCTGGCTGTTGCCCACAACATGAGAGAACTTTACCGACTAGTGCTGGTTGACACACCATTGGCTCCATACTTCTCTGAGTGCATCACATCAGAGGTATGTTCTTCCTATGTGTTTCCCGTACCTTATATCTTGAGGCAAACAAAATGACTTGAATGGTACGTGCATCTTCTTTTTTTTATCTTACATCTTTGATGCTGTGATTATCGTGATTAAGTCCTTTGAAAATGGTGGCATGATACTATCAGAAAGGGGAGTATCTCTAAATCATTTAGAAATTGGTGGCTGTTGGTACTGAAGACGTGTTCCAACTCTACCCTTTTCTGAACTTTGAAGCATTGACATCCTTACATATATGGTCATTTTCCCCTTTTAAATTAGTGAAGATCATTTAGTTGTATGTTAAACTCCCAGACTGTTATAGTTCATTTCCATTTTTGTAAAGCTAGCAACAGTTACCTCTACTTATTGGAAACTGAAAAGATCAAACTTGTTTAATGGATGAACTTAGTTCTAAGGGTACAAATTATATTTGAACCCTGTAAACTACCATTGCAGTTGAAGTGATTCGACAATGCAATTTTCTACTCTTGTTGACATACTATTGTCAAATCTCTTCTGGCTTTCCCAGGATTTGGATGACATGAACATTGAGATCATGAGGAATACACTTTACAAGGCATATCTTGAGGATTTCTACAGGTTTTGCCAGGTGAGGTTAGCTTGAGGAATTATGTTACAAATGTTATTTCCGCTCCTATTTTATAAATTTTATGTGTTGTATCTAATAGATCAGTTTCGTGTGGTACAGAAACTTGGTGGTGCCACAGCTGAGATTATGTCTGACCTCCTTGCATTTGAAGCGGATAGGAGAGCTGTTAATATCTCCATAAATAGGTATGATTGGTTCTCTCCCTATCTGTATCAGTAGCGTCTAATTTCGAATATGTTGCTTACTTGATCCATTTTGTTCCTTTTGTTCAGCATTGGCACTGAGCTTACCCGTGATGACCGAAGGAAACTGTATTCTAATTTTGGCTTACTGTAAGATCCTGATATGGTCTCTTTTTGTCAGATGTTAAACATCTTCTTACTCTATGCCTTTTAGTGACATCGTGATGGTTGTGTATTGCAGTTATCCATATGGACACGAGGAACTGGCTGTGTGTGAGGACTTGGATCAGGTTGGATATGAGTTTGATCTTTCAAAGAGGAGCGTCCATATGTTATGTACAAGTTTATCATTTGTCTGCTTCTTACCGGTTCACAGGTCCGTGGTGTCATGGAAAAGTACCCTCCATATCAGGCCATATTCTCCAAGTTGTCCTATGGCGAAAGCCAGCTGCTTGACAAAGCATTCTACGAGGAGGAGGTGAAGAGGCTATGCTTGTCTTTTGAGCAACAGGTTTGATGTTTACTCAATCTTGTGTATGCCTGGTTGCTCATGATCAATCACCCAGTGACTCATTTTTTTGGTATGATTCTTGTGCAGTTCCATTATGGGGTTTTCTTCGCGTACATAAGATTGAGGGAGCAAGAGATCAGGAACCTGATGTGGATATCTGAATGTGTGGCCCAGAACCAGAAGTCGAGAGTTCATGACAGTGTCGTCTTTATATTTTAGATTGCTGTTAGAAGGGGCGCTGGCTTATATCTCCATAGCCACTGGTTTTTGGGTTCCTTTTATGCCATAATGCTGCTGCTGCTGTACATTGTGCCTTCTTGCTTGCTTCCAGATCGTGAACTTGGTCGAGCTTTCTGCCGGGTCTGTGTCGAAAGTGAAGGCTTTTACCAAGTATCTATTATGTTTTCTTTATCCATGCGAGGGGAACTTTCTTGTACTTAATTTAAAATTTTCATACCTAGTATTTGCTGTTGGAAGGAGACTGCTTGGTTGCATTGTTTGCTGTAACGAAGGAAAATAAAAATGTAGGCTTCACGCCAGTTATTTTGCTTTGATACAAGTGGAACTTCTGCTCTGCCTAGATGTAGAAAATGAAGGTAGCCTCTATATAAAATATTTTTTTTTTTTGAAGGGCCTCTATATCAAATATTTGTCATTGCTTTATCCCAAAAAAGAAAAAAATTGCCATATAAAGAGATCCAAGTCATCAGGTTAGATAGCGTCAACGCACGAAATTATAATTGGCTGAATCAGACCAGACTAAACATGATAAAATACCTCATGAAAAACACCATCCCAAAAAGGTGCAAACTTGCTGTGATCTGGATCGTTGAAATGCAAAAGTTATGATATGTACCACTGGAAGTCCAATGGGTTACTGGGTTTTGGCCTTTTAGGCGGTAAAGCTTCAGCATTTCTGCCGCCAAAAGCCACGGTGTCCCGTCTACCGGCGGCGCTCTTTTCGGCTTTTCCCCATTGGCAGAGACGCAGGGTCAGGAAATCTCCGTCCCCAAATGTTCCGACCGGCGAAGCACAAAACGGCTAGGCCCTAATTGCACAACATACCATATAAGTATTGAGTTTGTTGCACACTAACCACTTAAATGATTTTAGTTGCAACTAAAGCATACACGTCGATTCTTAGTTGCATCGTTACATTTTTCATCCCTAAATTTAACGGTGAGTACCAAATTGTAGTTTTCCATTCCACGTAGGCATTCCAACTCATCCTATGGTGGGCCAAAAAAATCCAAGTGTCTCTTTTGAAATCTTTGACGAATCCCTTCTACTCGTTGCACTTTGCACTACATTCGTTGTTGTTTGGGCATAGCTCGTACTTTCTCTACGGTCTGGATTCACCATCAAATCCCGTCAATCCATCTTTATGAAAGCTTTTCCCCCTCATAATGCCTGCTTCAATGTCGCTGAGCAAGTTGTTGACTGGCACTGACGGAGATAGCTCTCTTCATTCGCGACTCCGGCCCTCACCACCCATGACCTTCATCCTCCCCTTGCCTGCCTCGACAAAGAAAAATTGAAAGCAAAAATGAAACAAGCAACAAAGCCTAACAATTTACCGTAAACAATAAGTAAATCAATTCAAAACATGAAGAGGGAAACCAGTAGCTTAAATAATTCCCTAATTCTCATATCCAACATGCAATTCAACCAAAAACCAACTGGACGATCATGAACAGAACAATGGGGCGATCGAATTGAAAAAGATGGCCGCTACAAGATAATAATCTAATTAACCACCCAATTCCACATGCCTCACTTGACTATTCACAAAAATCACCCTATAATTTCATCACATTCAAGAAAAGGATCAATACCCAGAAGATGATTTTTACCAAGAACTTACAGAGCATGCAACTTGGGATTTGGGAGGTGTACCGTTTGCATTCGGCATCGGTAATCCTGATTTCGAGAACGTCAGAAGTTTTGCCATCGTTGGCCATGGCCCCCATTGTTCATTTACATACTAATGGATCTCGTGGCCTTTGTCGGCGACGGTGCGGTAGAAAGCAGAGACGTGGCGCACCATTCCGCTCGGATTGGCGCCGATCGGCCATGTCTTTGAAAAGATGGCGAGATCGTCGAATATGAAGCCGAAACAGAGCTTGTTCCAGGGGAAATTGTGTCGTGGAGGCCTCCAGAGAAGGATTGGATGAATGAATCATATTATCGACAGAAGGTCTCGGAAACAAAAACAGAGGAACAGGAGAGAGGAAAAATGATAGAGAAGGGGAATAAAATGAGCTTATGTGGCGGGAATTCTCTAGTGCCGGCACGGCACTAGTGCCGCCAGCGCGTTAGCCGTAGGATTGGCAGTGTTTAATTAGGACCATGGATTTTAACCACCACTTAACCAAGTTAGGTTGAACCTATTTTATATTTAAATCATTTATTATAATATACAAATTTAACATTGAAACGGAACAGAGAACTGATTTATTAATAAAATAAAATTATTTATTTATTTTGTTGCTTCATTCCCAGAAAATCCTGCCCCTGATTTACCAAAGGAAAAAAAAAGGTATGCACTTGCCGTCGATTGCCACGGTGGGGATGATGATGGGAATGACCGGGCAGCGGGGATAGGGTTGATGACGGGCTGAAGGTGGTACATTGAAAATTTGAAATCGATGGTGATATTGAATCGGCGGCGGTTTAAACGAGGGGGAGGAGCCTTGATGATGATGGCGATTTTGAGGGTGTGGGGATATGGGTGGTGATGGCCGACCAGCGGCAACAACGACGATGGTTGTTGATTGACAGGACAGAGACGATATGATGAGATGACTCGGCGGCGGCAACTGGATTAATGACGGTGGTGAAATCGACTGCCAGGGATTCGGGTTCTGGGTGGTGATGACCGATCGGCGGCAACGGCGTTGGTGATTGTGGATTGCGGCGGCAGAGACAATGCTGGCGATGGTCGATCATGGCAACAAGCCAACAACGACGGTGGTGGTGGATTCCTGCGATGGAGTTGTTGGCCTTGCTTTACGGTGGAAGGACAAAGAAGTGAAAGGGCAAGGAACAGACGTTTTATGTTTTCTTTTACCTTTTTTTTATTTTTTCATTTTATTAATTAAATAGCTGAATCAAACCCACCCAATAAATCACAACCCATTCTGTTAACCGATCAGAAAAATATGGCGGCACTGGTGCAGGCACGGCACCACAGAATTCCCCATTATGCGGATTTAGTAGTCCACTATCTCAGTAGTTAGGTTGAGCTGGAACGCCAACGTGGAATGGAAAATTACAATTTGATACCCATCATTAAATTTATGGATGGAAAATGTAATGATGCAACTAAAAACCGACTTATATGATTTAGTTGCAACTAAAATAATTAAAGTGGTAAGTGTGCAACAAACTCAATACTTATATGGTATGTTGTGCAATTAACCCCAAACCGTCTTTGTAGTTTCTAATCTTTATTTTTTTTGGTAGAAAGTTTCTTATCTTTTATGTGTCGGACTTCGGAGAAAGTAGAAGCGTAGCACGTCCCTAATCGGAGAAGAATATGGCCGAACCTTCTCCTTCCCCTCCACCGCCGAATTCATCCACGATTACAGACTTAAGCGTGGACTCGCTGGCTCACTGCGCCAATTACCTCACTCTTCACGACCTTTCCAACTTCTCCATCTCTTGCAAGTACCTTAATGGCGTCGCCCACTCCGATTCCGTGTGGCAACGCCTGTTCAGGTTCGCCTTTCCCTTCCCTCTTACTGCCCTCAAAAGTTTATGCATCTCTCTTCGTTTGAGTCATTGTCTTCTGTAAGATGAACTTAAAATCTGATTTCCTGTTGCTGAATTGGATTGGGTTTATGCAGAGAGCAATGGCCGCATGTTGTAAGGCCCAATTTGTCGGATAACTCGCGAGTCAGGGAAGCTTATTTGGCCAGGAAGGCTGCTGTGCGGCAGTTCAGGTTTGCCGATCCTTTGGTTGCAGACTTCTATACAGAGGCCAAACCTTTTGATCATATCCTATTGGATGAGGACGACATTATCTATTCTCAGGTAATTGTGCTTTTGCATTCATGGGTTCCCAGTTTTTCTACTGGAAGTTGAATGTTTTTCCTGGCTGATCATGTTATTGATCAGGGTAATGTCATTCAAATGATGGGCATAAGTAGTTTGCTAAGGGGCAGAGATTCCATAACTAGACTGAGTGATCATGGAGCTAGAATCACTTGTATGAGGTGAGTGGTCACATGGATAATGGATTTGTTCTCCATCTTAAATGCTGTGAGCCTATGAGGATTGCCTCGTACTTAGATTTGGGTGACTGATTATTTCAGTACTATCTCAATACTATTCAGAGTTCTGTTTACTTACTGTGTCCTTGTATTGTGTTTCCTCTTGTCCTTCTAGAGTGTTTTCACTTGACTTGCGAAGTGCGGCCCAAAGAAAGCAGAGAGTGTTGTTAACCTCAAGCTGTGACCATTCTATTCGTGTGTGGTGGAAGGTACTGTATCAATTACTTTTCATTTGCCACTTTTTGGTTGCTCAAGATCTTATTTGCCTCGCACAATCGCACATAATGTGCTAAATATGACAATTTGCATTGTGAGATGTTTTATACACCATTCTTTAGTTTCCTGATGTGGATTAGCATTGTGGTTTCATGGTTTAGGGTTCTTGCCAAAGATGTCTTAGAGGGCATAATGGGCCTGTTTTGTGCTTGACGGATAGATTTCTCGGCGATGGCAGTTCAACAGTACTAGCAAGTGGTGGCGAAGATTGCACGGTTCGCCTTTGGTCCCTAGGTTCAAGTGGAAAACGTGGACAGCATGCTTTAAAAGCTACTTTGTATGGGCATGAGAAACCTATCAAACAGATGTCAGTTGCAGAGTAAGAGATCATTTCTTGCTATAGCTCCTCCACTCAAACCTCGACTTCAGAAGATGCTCTCATTTTTTTCCGTCTTTAACTTTTCTTCGTATCTTCCAAGGAGTGCGGTCTTATGCCTTGTTGTGGCTGATTAGTACGTTGTAGTGTAACCTCTGGAATGCTTAGACTGCTGATCTGCGGGTGCTTACTCTTTTTATGGTGACACTAATACCTTTTCTCTCCCATGTTTCTTCAGGCACAATTCTTCCCTCTTGGTTAGCATCTCAAAAGATTCTAAGGTAACCTACTAGTGGTTTGTATTCACTTCTTATTACCCGAGTGCCTTGAATTTTCTTGATTCAAAGCGCGAAAAAGTGACTATCGTGGTACTTGTAAAATGTAATAGGTTAGGCTCTGGGATACCACTACATCATCTGCTGCTCGTTCTTCCTGCTGTTTGGGGATGGTTTCTGTGCCTGGTGGTGCACCTGTTGATATGAAGTGCAACGAATCGTTGCTTTATGTAGCTTCTGGATCCTCTGTAGTGACAATCGATTTAAGGACCATGCGGAAAGTTGCTATGCCAGCAATCTGTCAACCAAACTTACTCTCATTCGCCATGGTGCCTTCAAAACCCTTGATCTGCACTGGTGGAATGGGCAAGTAAGTGTATATATATATATATGGTCACTTGAAAGTTCTTTGTTTTCCCAGCTGTAATCTATTGCTTTTTTGTCATTGTATGAACCAAATGTCTTGGTACGGTACAGGAGCTTGATTTGGGACATTAGGAGAAACCAGGAGACGTTGAAACCACAACCAGTGGACAGTGGTTGAGCTAGAAGGACATAATGGTCCAGTAACAAAGCTACATGCGGACCGATACAAGATTGTTACAGGAGGGCCACATGATAGATTCATACATGTCTGGGAAGCTGGTACTGGAACACGAACGAATTCCTTTGTCTGTTCGGACCATGAGGATGCTGAAGAAACCAGCTCTAGGTGTTTGGGTATGGCTGTTGACAGAGCTCGAATTGCGACTGCTACCACGGGCGAGGGACATGGACTCATCCGGTACAGAGACTTCCTCAATGCTACTTGCCCTGTTTCAAGAGTGGACGACCATGATGAGAACTCTTCCAAGTTTTGGGATCAACAATCGTTTGGTGACAGCAGTGGAGATGTTGATGGAGCAGTACTCAAGTAGGTTGTGGACTTTTGGTTGTTCTTTTGGAGCATACTTTAGTGTTTGTACGAGCTTGGTTCCTCAAATCCTTTGCAGTCTGCTAGCAAGTTTGCTCATCATACTAATTTGTAAGACCACATTGGAATTTCTAATATATTCTTGATTTATATTTCATCAGAGGACTTGAAAGAACTGTGACATAGATGTAGAAGCTAATGTGTCTAATATGGATGGAGAAATGGATGTAATAGATTAACTATAGAATCACATAGTTAGTTTTTTGCAAATGTAGTGACTATTTTGTTAGCAGCTCAAACAGTAGTGATCGGTTCTGTAAAATCAACAAAGGCGGTTGACCGAGGGTGAACTGAACTCTTTTCAGTTTTCACTATGGCGAGCTGAGCAGAGCTTCCTATATCTCCTCCGTCAATGCCAACTCTTTCTTCAGTCCACCATCGTCCCCAACAAAATGCCCACCACCGTCTTCTTCCTCCTCCTCTTTCTCTTCTCCGCCGCCGCCGCCCCGGTCCCGGGCCTCGACACCTTCCTAACCCACCAATCCCACATCGACCCACAAGCCTCCAACGACACATTCGAATCCCTCCCTTCCACCCTCCGCAAATCCCTCTCTTCCTTACCTCACGCCGCCGCTGCCGCCGGCAGAACCAATTCCCTAATCTCCTCCCTCCTCTCCCTGTCGCTCCCGCTCTCGATCAACCTCCGTCTCGTCGGCTCTGCCTTCCCGGCCGACTCCGAGGCCATCCTCTCTTCCTTCTTCTCCTCCACCCACACCTCCGACCACTTCCACGTCATAACCCCCGATCCCGTCCCACCTCACAGCGGCTCCCACCGCCTCGCCGTCCGCCACTCCCCTCACCTCGACGTCTCGCACTCCCCGCCTTCCCTCGCTTCCCGACTCTCCGACGCCATCAAATCCGCCATCGCCTCCACCCCTTCCCCTCTCCGATCAACCCTCCTCTCCATCCCTTACGACTCCGTCGACCAAATCATCCGCCAGGAATTCGATAAGGAGAAGCCCGCTCACGGGATCTATGTCTACTTGATCTCATTGGGTGCTCAGTCCAAGAGCTACGCTTATTCGTATTTCCCTGGCGATTCCTCCCCTGGCTTCACTAAATGTTCAGGGACGATTTGGACGGGGAAGGAGAGATACCTCTGGATTGATCTCTCCGCGGGGCCGGTGGATTATGGGCCAGCTCTGTCCGGCGATGGGGTTTTGCCCCGAGGGGAATTTCACCCTCTTGCGACTATGCACGGCCGGCCCAAATCACAGAAGGCTCTGCTCTCTGATTTAGCTTCATTGATTTGGAGTGCTTACCAGGTATTGCTCGTCCCCTCACTGAGAATTCCAGTCCACTTCGATAGCGCCTTGATTGTTCAGTTCATCCATGTTTATGCTTCCAAGAATGGTAAGGATACCACTGGTTTGGACTGGAAAGCAATGGAGAGGTCCTTTAGGGATGGAGCTAGTGAAGATGGTTTATTGCTAGGTGATCAGTCTCTAAGCTTCAAGAGCTACGAAGTGAAGTATGAGGAGTGTTCAATTTGTTCTTATGCCATTTCGAGATCGATCAATTCGTACACCTCGAGGTTCTTGTTCGATAACTATACACTGATCGTGAGTGAGTATTTGGATTCCAAGAGATTGCATCAGATACTGTCAGACTCGGCTGAAGAGTTTAAGAGGGTAGCTGGAATTCCAGAGGAAGATTACGCCACAGTGCTCCCTGTTTATGTGTTTGATCTCGATTACAACATGCTGCTGTTGCTCGATCGATACCATCAATCTGTTTCCTTCAGAGATATGGTTGTAGCAGTGAGAACAAAAACTACCCAGACAGTGAGCGATTACAGCTGCAATGGCCGACATGTGTTCACTCATACACGAGACCTCGAGCGACCTCTTGTTGGCTCGATTCTCCAGAGCATGTGGGGAGTTTCTCCGACACACTTGTCATGGAGTCCACGACACAACACAACTCTAGTGGACTACACTTGGAGCGTGGGGCAGACACCCTTTGGTCCTTTCTCTGAGTCTTCCACCTTGTCCTTTGTGCAGAAGGATGCAGCTAGGAGAAATGTGCTGTTGACGTCATTGAATTACAGTATAACGAGTGCGATTGAAGTTCTTGGCTCGATGGAAGCTCATGGTGGGGATAGGAGGCTGCTTAAGGATAAGCAGCATGTGGAATTCGTGCAGCGGTGGAACTTGTTCAAGCACAAGATTGATAAGGCGGTTTCTGCTTTGTCAAGACTGGACTTCGAGATGGCTTTGTATTACTTGCGGTCTTCGGACCATGATCTGTATGCCATTCACTCGCTGGTGTATCGCGCCTCGCAGGAATTGGAGGCGTCACTTGCTTGCTTCAAAGATCCGCCGTTTCCTTGGGGCTCGGTCTCGTTATCTGCAGGAGGGTTCTTTGCTGTATGTTATTTGTATGTGAAAAGGGAGAGCCTTTTTAGGAACAAGAGGAAGCAGTTTTGAGAGGTTTGGAAGTAGAAGGGGTAGAGAGTTTATCTTTGTGCATCTTTTGAAAGCACTACTAGGGTTGAGTTCTAAGTTGATGCTGACTTTCTTGGCTCTCACTTTGTCATACAAATCTTATACTGTAATTCTGGTTTTATTGCCAAGATCAATTGAGAACGTGAAATGACAGAAAGTCCAATGGAACTCTTGAATCTTGATGCTAGTTTTTGTTGGCTCTGCCTGTTGCTATTCTGTTTCTTTCATGTGTTGTTTTTTCTTCTACTCTTGGCTCTTACATGATGAGAGTAGTGATCGTTCCATGCGATCATAGTCATAGATTCTGGGTTCCATCCTTTGTTCTATAACTTGTTTTGTAGCACAACTGATTACTTGCTGCCGATTTCCTTCCATGATGTACAACTGATTAATAGTCGGGGTGCTCATACGACAGTGCAAAGTGGCATCTTTTTCAACAAAATGTTCACCCACAGCAGAGAAGTGAAAACCAAGTGAACTTCTTCTGGTTACACTTTGCAACAAACTCGTGCAAAGAAAGTTTGAGTGCGTAGGCAGTTAAAAACCAGTGGCAGCAAGCATAATCAACACTACATGACCAAAACAGCTCGAAAGAAATTAACCGACTATTCACTCTGCCCCAAACAACTAGTCATCTTTTCCGTTACAAACTTTACATTAACAACTTGAACAGGGTAACTAAACATCCAGCCAGCCTGCCAAAACATCAGTGGTGCAAGCAATAGCCACAAATAGCGGCCGTAGCCCGTAGGTATTGCTTAGTCTGATACTCTACACTAGCCTCCATCACTCCATCTCTCAGCTTAACCTGCTGCGTACAAAATTGACAGAGACCACCATCTCACCACATCAGCAACAAAAATCAAATACGCAAGCTAAGACAAGAGTGAGATGTAGCGGAAATGGGACTAATTGTCACGATTTTTTTCTTACTGTAGGCGTTCAAGCGAAGTAGGCGCCTAAACCATGGTCGTTACCAACAATACAAGGGAAGTAGGTGCCTAACAGGCCACCAGCAATAATGCAAGGGAAGATTGGCGAGAAGATTATACACAAGCCATAAAAAGAGAGTGAAAGAACACAAACACATCATCTCATGTGCAACTTATAGCTTAGGAGAGCTTGGAATTTGCAAAACCGGCAAATCTCAAGCAATTAGAAACCAGAAAGAGACGATTGTGCTGATTAAAAATAGTACATATAAAGGCTGGATGATATGACATGGTTGCACTAGGGAAAACTTCCTCACTTTTCCTAAACCATAATAGAGAAGCAAATGCAGGCAAGAAGGGGGAAGGTAAAGTCTTACAAGAAAGTAGAAGTAAATATACCAGTTCCTGGAGGAGTTGATGATTCGTTAGTCGTTACTGCTCTGAAGGAAACAGCTAGAGCTTTCATTGTACACAGCTTGCAGTTTCTCGTAGCTTGGAATTGGGGTAGGCCAGCAAATTCGCAATGAGCACACATCAATTGAGAACCAATGGACGCCAGCAATACTACAGGAAAACAGATGTCTCAAACGCCACCAGCAGTAATACAAGGGAAGCAATGTCCTTTATGCAGACTCATTCTGGCTAAGTTTCCTTAGCAGCCACTTCTTCCGCATTCTAGCATCCAAAGCTAAGAACATTTGTGCACTCCGGTATGATTCTTCGAATAGATCACAAGCATCCAAGAACAATTCATCATCTATGTCTGATGTATCCTGGAGTGTGTGAACAACATCTACCAATTGATTGCTTTCAACCATTGCATAATCTTGTATAAGATTGCGCAATTTTTTCACCACCTTCTTCTTAACTGGACGCCTGGGCCTCAATTTTGAGCTCTTGTTCTTTGGTGGTCGACCAAATTGTTCGACTCCCTCAACAGATTGACATTCTTTTGAAGCAACCACCACATAGATGAGGAGATAGGCAATAAGATTAGATACAGGACTATAGAAAACAAGTGAGTGAGAATAAGCGCACACACACAAAAGCAAACACAGCAAACATATCAAGCAATTAGAAACCAGCCAGAGACATGCTTGTGCAAGTAAATTTACCAGTTACTGGAGGAGTTGCTGATTCATTATTGTTGCTCTGAAGGAAACAACTGTAGCTTCCGTCGTAAACACCTTGCAGTTTCTCATAGCTTGGAATTGGAGTAGGCCAGCAAGTGAACCTAGGCTGGAACACCTTCCAGCGTGAACCACGTACTTCATCAGCAAAGAACTTAAGCTCCTTGGCTTTCAAATTGCAGGAGAAGACGAGACTCCTACGCACTTGAGGGCAACGACATTCCAAGAAGACAATCTCTGGGTTACTCGGATGTAGAGCAAGTACATCGATCATCTCCAAATCCGGGAATTCTTCACGGCTAGATCTTAGCATCACATCCAAATTCTCTCCACATAGGATCCTCCAGTTTTGAGGACCACGGCCTTCTTCTTCCCCCCATCTCCAAACAGTCAGGAGATACCCTCCTGAACGACCAGGTCGGAAATGAGATGAAGCAAAAACCATGAACAGAGTACCTTGCAAGGTCCAAACTTCGGAACTGCTACGCAGGGGGACTGAAGCAATAGAAGTTGGAGGTGCATCTGGGCTGAAAGGATCCCACGCAGCAAGTTGTTCGAAGTCCTGAGTCCGCCAAAACAACTTGCCTTCCCACCACGACAATACGTTCCCTGCAATCATTCTTGACGAACGATCGATGGCAACAACGTCTTCCATCCATTCCCCAGACTCCGAGCAGAACAAGTCTACTTTCGCACTATCCATCGCGCCGGATACACGCACGACGCGGAATCGATACTCATCGGAACCATCGTTGCTGCTGCGAGGTTGACAAACCAAGCTTTTAGCCGAAATAGACACTGCACCTGGCCTTTCAGGGGCTAGAGGAAGGGCGACCCATTGCTTCGTAAACGGATTACAGACGAAGAACAATCTCGCAAGCTCGGGGTAGCTTTCGACCGTAGTCAACGCCTCGAAGCCGCATAAAACCAGGTCGCTGAACGAAGAGAAGACTGAGAATCGCCATCGAATTTCTTCTGGCACGGGGATAAAGCTCAAAATGGACTGCGCATCGTCTGATGGCAGCAGAGGTGGTTCGTAATCGCTGTCGTCGTCGCCTTGGTTCTGATGGTGAGAAACGAAACGGCGACGGAAACTGGGACTAGAGATCAGTGAGCTCCACCGCTTGCATACGGATTTGCACCGGAAGGCGGATCTAGCGTCCGGGAGGCGGACCAGAAGTTCAACGAAGAGATCGTCTCCGAGTTTGCTGATGGCGGAAGGAGGGTCTCCTTTTCTTGAACAGGTTCTTCGTCGTTTTGTGGCGGGATGGAGAAGGTCACCGGCGGCAGCGATTCGTCGCAGATGCCGACTCGTCATGAGGAAGAGGAAGAGGGTTAGGATTTGGAATTCGACGGCTGCAATTTTGCCGGATTTCGATTTCCGACCACTCCAAGTCCAACAATGATTCCGTCCAATTAATATATTACCCCCATAAGTTTGAAGCTCCATGCTAAGCAGCAGCATATAATAACACAATAATATGACCAAAAAAAGCAACCAAAACACAATACGACCAAAAGACGTTGAAAGCAATTAAGCATCAACCAACTTCACATCAACAAAAACCTGAAACTGGGTAAATAAATAGAAAGCCAGCCAGCCAGCCAAACACATCACCGCTGCAAATAGTCACAGAGAGCGGCTGTAAGTTTTGCTTAGTCTGATTTCTTAAGCTATATTGCATACTCGAGCCTCATCACTCCGTCTTCCTGCTTGACCTGGCTGCATACAGAACAGATAGACAGACACCATAGCATGATTATCAGCTAACAAAATCAAACACATTGAGCAGAAATGATATCAGTTGCATCAAACTCTTGCGTCTTATTCGAGTTCAAGTGGCTGCGCACCTAAGTCGAAGAAGGAAACGCAGAGGAGAGGAACTCCTCATCTTCCATGAAGATCTGCAGATTATTGGTCTTCATCAGGAAGTCAACGGCTGCTCCTTCGAATTTGACGAGAACAGCCAGCTTGATTATAGCAGAGAGAGCAGTAACTTGTTCCTCTTTCTGCTCCCAAAGGACTCCCTTTGCGATTACTTCAGAGAAACGGCAGGCATACTCAAGAAGATTTCTTCCGCTTCCACTCTCCTCTAGCCTCTGTGTGTACAATTTGCCTTTGTCCTTATCCCAGCGGATCATTTGGGTGTCTTTCACTCTGATGACTTCACCTGAAGATAGAGTCAGGCTGTAGGTGACGGTCAATGGCTCCGGTGTCTCCAGGACAGTGAGATCAAGGAGGTTCTTCACTTTTTCATGCCTTGCCTTCACTTCCATGTCGAGAGATGGATGAGCTAGAAAGCCTAGTATGATCTTGGCTAGATTCTTCCATGTGAAGAGATTCAGATGCTTACACTTGTAGGCTGCTGTGGCTGCTATGGAGTTCTCTTCTTCTTTCTGCACAGACTCGGAAATGCCACGAACTCCGATCCCCCTGTAAACTTCCATCAATTTTGTCCGAGGCAAATAGGGAGAACTTGGTTGAGGATACCAGGCAAATATTGAGTGTTCTGAGAAGAGTTCCTTCAATTGAAGGTCATCCGCAATGTAAACGTCGAGCTTGTCCGACATCAGAATTTGTCCTCCAGAGACGACAGGCAACTTCGACACCTCTCCAGCGAGAATTTCTTCTTTCTTTGCGCTAAGGCACTTCATAACAGCAAAACGCCAGAATGCACAACACTCCGAATGCGTCAAACTGTGAAGTGATCTTTCCCATGTCTGCCAAAGCTCGCAGTAATCAGCAAGCGACGGGTTACTTCTAACACCAAATGTTTCATTAAAGAAATCCAACAATCTGCAGTTGTAGTGTTTCTCCAAAACATACAATTGGGAACCAAAGAGACCATCTTTATCATGCAGCACGCAATCTTCTGGATTTACCCACTCCCCAGAGCGACACCCACTATCAGGAAACCAAATCCTGCATGCGGTTTGATCATTTTCTGGTTTCCATTTCTGTTGTCTCAAGAAATCATATATCCTAACTATGGCAGTTGATTCGGAGTGCTCATCAAGTTGTCTAGCAAGTAGCTTGCATACTTCTTCTGGGTCAACGCAAACTCCTATCTTCCTCAGCTCTTCCTTATATGATGCAATTTCAGGGCCCAAAAAGGATTCATCAATGAAAGGTCCATCACTATGCTTCAGACCCATCGTCTCCCAACTGGAATCAAACAAGCAGCTGTTCTTTGGAGCCCTGTAACCAAAAACAGTTTTCAACCATTCTCCAGAAACTTTGTCAATAAAAGACTTGGGAAATGAATATTCTTTCTCCTCCAATAAAATCCTGATGCATTCTAACAGTGAACGGACATTTGAGGGAGAGATGGTGGATGGATCCTCAGGGAAATAAAGACAGGAAGGAACAAACTTAGCCCCGTCTTTCAAACTAACCACCACCCCGATAAGCTTTAGCTCTTTTGCATACTCGTCAATAATGTTCTTTCCGTAGCCATTATTGCTGTAACTATCATCGAGGAAAGGAAGGCGGGTAATTGCAAGGAGAGATTCCCATTCAGGGCCGAACAGAATACACTCTGTTGGAGATCTATAAACACCAAGCCTTGTCCGGAGCCACTTCTGGGACCGGATGCAGGTTTTGATATCAGAGAGAGGTCGCTTGATTCCCTTCAGACGTCTGTAGCAGGAGAGAAATGAAAGTACATGGTCCTTTGTGATCTTTGACAAAGATGCCTGCTGATTGAAAGTGCTCACGAAAGCTTTTGTGGCATCCTCGAAGTCAACCTTCACCCCCAGTTGTTTCAGTTCTGACTTGTAGTCGATGATTTCGTCACCATAGAACTTGCCATCAATGATAGGGGAGGAACCCCGAAAAACCTCCAGAAGGCAGCCCCATTCAAGGTCGAACAAGAAGCATTCGCCAGGAGACCTATAACCAACATTGGTCTTCAAACATCTAGCTTGCTGTATAGTGGCAACTTTGGAAGCAGCATTCTTGGCTTTACGCATGCATTCAAGAATCAGGATAAGAGCTTCTTTTGTCAAACCACAGGACAAGCAAGCACTCGATTTCAAGTGCTGGACGATAAGATCGTGACTACCTGCCAATCGAACTTTAACACCAAGACTCTTGAGTTCATTTTCGAAAGAATTAATTTCCGGCCCATAATAAGCATCACTGATGAAGTAAAGTTCACTGATCTGATCTGCAACTGCCCACTGCCCCTTAAGCAGGACACATTCATCAGGAGAGCGGTAACCATGTGTTGTCGTCAGTAACCACTTCCCTCCTTTTATGCTTGAAATAAATTGATCTGGATCCAAGAATTTTTCTCTTAGAAATCTGATGAACTTAAGCATTGAAAATACGGTGCTTTTTGTCGAAGTGGAGGAATTAACATGTGACATGAGGCGGCGACCTATATATTCACATGCTTGGTCGTACTCAAACATCACTCCAATTTTTTTGAGTGCCGCCTCGTAGTTTACAATATCTTCACCATAAAAATTCATATCCACTAGAGGAATATCAACTACCACAGATCCATCCTGTAAAATGCTTCCCCATTTAGAGTTTTTCTTCTTCGAGGAAAGCAGGAACGACTGCGATGGTGGCTTATAACCAGAAGACCCATTCATTGTAACCCTCAACCAGCTACCATTGCTTATGCAAGTCAAGAACTTATCCGGTATTGGTATTCGATAGGATATGAGATGAGTAATCCAATACAACAACCAAATTGCATTATGCTTGGTAAGTGGTCCTGAAACTGTAGGGATCTCCGCATTTGGAGGAGATAAATGTGGAATATCAGAAGCTCCAACATGAGTTTTAAGAAACTCCAATAATGGTTTGCCCCCGGAGGCCTGACCACAAAAAAGTGCTTGCTGTAAGTACTCTTCGCCTAACTCAATGAAACCCTCTCGTCTCCATGGATTTGAACCAATCAAATCCAACCATCTACTTTCACTACCAGGAATGAGGACTACATGATCCCGAGCTTTTATTACATTGCCGTAGCTATCAACAAGTGGCATGTCCTTACACAGATTATCCACCTCCTGGTCTGACAGATATTCAGCAGAGTGTGAACGATACAGCAAGTGAGCATATGCCACTGCAAGCTTCTGGTCAGTACCTAAATGATCCCTAAGAGAACTTGAATATCCATACAAGTTCAACTCATGAAGCCCTGCTACAGATTTAAGCCATTCTAGTACAGTTTTCCTCCTTTCAAATGACCTGAGCGCATCTTGTGTTGCTTTTGGAAAGAAAAAGAAAGGTGTTATGTGCCAAAACACTTTATTCCAACCAATAAGCAATGCTGCATATTCAGATTCCTTTGATCGACACAGCACCCTCCCACTTTTCTTGTAGGCTGATTCATTGATGCTGCAGATACCCACATCCCCATTAGTAGCAACATGTCTCAGCAGGGGTACACCCGTCAAATTTGCGTTCCTCAAGTTTGTTGACCAATTCGCAGCGATGAAATGAAGAAGCTCTATGTATAAATCCTCTGAGATTCCATTCAAGAGATTAGTGCCCTGGATGCACTTTGTAGGACCATTCATCCACCACGAATCCCACGCCCATGAATTTGAGAACCTTGTCATACTTACTCAGGTCAAAGGAAGAAGCAAGGATATAGCATCCGTGGGATGAAAGATTCTGAAAATTGACGTTTTCCTGCCTGGCCTTCTTCAGGATGTCCCAGAAAGCAGGCAAAAGCCGACTAACTTCACGGGGTTTGTGAAAGTACTTCTGAGCCTTATAAGATTCACTCGGCACAATGCTCTCCTCAGCTAACTTCGATTGAATCGACTCCCTCACAACATTTAGGAAGGGATAAGTAGAGGTCTCGACAGGCAAAAACCGAAACATCGGAGGCAAACTAGAAATTGGAGCATCTTCGCTGGTTTTGACCAAAGCAGCTAACGCATTAACGAATGCTGTCGGGACACATCCGAGGATCCCTTGATTCCATCTGTTATCAAGCAGCACGGCTTCCCTGGACGACGACAGAATGAAATCAGCTTGAATGATGAAGGGAAAATTAGTAAACATTTCCGTAGGAAGAAATGCATAGATTCCAGGTGAATGCCCTCCTTTGTGAAGACGCTCTCCATAAGGGAAAGCTAAAGTCACCAGCCATTCCTCCACATCCATTCGCTGCTCAACAATATTTTCTCTTTTCACCGGAAACCTCTGCTTCCACATATAGTAGCTGCACTGGCCATCATTACTTTCACCGTTACTCTCAGCCGAAAGATGAAGGGTGTAGGACTCAGCATCAATGTTCTTCCTAGACACGTAATCAACCTCCTTAGTAATAGCAATAGCAGTAACCGTGTTGAGCTTGGGGTTTTCATTCTCTTCCCTCACAGAAAGGTGCTTTATCTTTGAAAGAAACAGCAAGACTTCAGGATGAACACTGGACAGCTGCTCCTTCACTGGTTTCACCTTGTCAGGCTTCAAGGGCAATACCAATGCAGTGGTGGGAAGTCTGGATGAACCATACACTTGTTGTATATCTGCAACAGAAGGCTTGTCATCATCAACCCACTCAGGAACAATGTACCCAAGCTTGCAGGGTGGGCGTGGCTTCTCATTGAACCGAATCTTATATCCATTGCTGAATATGTGAGGCCGAGAAGTGATCAGAAACACGCTCTTGAACCCAATTCCTGCAATCAAGTCAGCCAAAACAAGGCCATTAGAAACAGCCCCTCGAGTGGTTTACTTCTCCCCCAATCTTTTCCTGTCCTATTAAATTACCAAACCTGGAAGGATCGTCACTATCCAATAAGCAACCGCCAAAGGCAAATCAGAAGTGCTGATTACTCCTTGATTTACTTATACTTAAAATATAGAGGAAGAAGAAAACAAAATTGCGCAGTGAACAACAAACACCGAGACGAGCATATATTGAGAGATAGAGCACACGGAGAAAAAATAAAAACCTTTCTCCCCAATGTAGCCGCGTTTCCTGTTTCCTTTCTTGGTGGAATTTCCCACACTGCAGATGGACTCGATATTCTTCGCCGAGAATCCCTTCTCGTTGTTGAACACCAGCAGCGTCGCCGGAGCTCCGGTTCCGGTGATGTCCCGCGACGTTATGACGAACTCAAGTGAAGGACCAACTCCCTCCGAGTACTCATTATCTTCGGCGTTCTGCAAAATCAACCATAAATCAATCGTTCAAAAGAATTAAACTAAATTTTCCAGAAACAAAAATCCAACAGAAACGGAAGCGAAACCTGTATTAGCTCCATCAGAAAGTGGACGTCCTTAGCGTAGAGTTCAGCGGAGAGGTACTTGACCGCTTGATCGAGCATGGCGGCCAACGGATTTTCCTCGTCCTCTCCTATCGAGAACGTCCGACGACGAAGTTGCTCGATGTGCTCTTTCGGCGTCGCCATTGTTGCTGTGTTTACGAAATCAATCACAGGGAGATTATGGAGAAAACCTGAGGGAAAGTAAGAAATCAAATCAACGCAAGTCCTGGTACAAAGCGACTGTTAGCTTTCTATGCGAGGTGGAAAAGAGAGCGACGCAGGGGTAATGAGAATGAGGTGTCAGACAGTGAAGAAGAAGAAAACTTGCAGTGTAAGGAGAAGAAACTGAGACGACTGGTGTCTGGGGAAAAGCAGAGTGAGGGGGATGTGGAAAACTGGAAATTCGAAATTGGAAAATGAAAAGTCAGTCGTGGAGGAGAGGAGTCTTGTCTTTTCGTTTCCCGATGGTGGGGCGCGTGGGGAAATCAATACGACGTGACGTGGTTTGGGCCTGGAAGTGGAGGGCTGGAGTAGTAATGGCACAATGGGCTGGACGTTATTTTGGTCCAAAACTCTGTTGATCTGATCTATTCTCTCAAAATTCATCTTCATGTTTATTACACATAAAAGCATGAGCTTGTCTTTATTGCTTTTCCTTCAGAAAATCGGACCTTCACAAAGGCCATCATGCATGCTAATATCATTTTTTTTTTTATAAAAGATTCATTTTATCTTCTCTACAATTTTCCAACCCAAATGTCATAGCAAAATCTTCAGCCAGCTTTTGTTGCCACTAGGTCCAAGTAGGGATGGCAATTTCGATCTGATCCGTTTTACCCGACCTGTTTGACCTGTTTTGGGGCGGGGCGGGCATGAGTAGTCTCATCGACCCGACCTGCCCTGACCCGCCCCATTCTCGACCCGTTCTTGTCTAAATTACATGTAATCTTAGTCAAATTACTTAGAATTTTCCTTTTATTACATCATATTTTAGCTATAATAAAGTTGTAAATTAGTAAAAACCTCAATTTCTCCAATAATTTAACTACAATTGTCATAATATTGTTTGTTTTCTTAGTCTTATAATAAAAATAACGAATATTTCCAATGTTTTCATATAAATTGCATACACATTGGGTCGACCTGCCCCGACCCGTGACCCGTGATCAATTACCCGACCTGCCACGGGGCGGGTCTGGGTACCAAGAAACCCGCCCCGGACCTGCCCATTGCCATTCCTAGGTCCAAGTGCGTGCGTTAGAATGCCACACAACGAAAGTCGGCGTTAGACTCCAAAATTTGTGCATTGAGTTGTCATCACGGTTGCATCAACATTCATCTTGAACATGCTGATGATTGGGATTAGAATGTTCATTTAAAAAAACTGTGTGAATAATTAAGATAGAGATTGCAAAAATATCCGTAACCGTGGTTATCCATCCGAACTCGGCTTAATCGGGTAGGGTAAAACTCGAACTCGAAGGACATTTAGTGGGTACGGGTAAACCCGAACTCGAATATTGCGAGTAATGGGTGGGCATGGATTTTTCACTATCCAACCTGAACCCGCCAGATTATACACATACATATGTATTTTGTCTAGAAATAATCATTATTTTTCTCTAACATATTTTATATTTAGCATATAAATATAATATTTTCATAAAATTGTGTTGTTTTAATTAATTTTCTTCATTCTAGTGGATTATTGTCATACTTTTCCTCTTACATAATGTGAGAATACGTGTGAATGTTAACATATTGGTTGGAGTTATGAAGAGAAATCATTATTCATGGACAACCGTGGATACCCGAAACCCGAACGGATATGGGCATGATTTTAATTTTCTAACCGTTTCACATGTGGGTATGGGTATGAGTAAAACCCGAACTACTTTGGGTAGGGTAACGGATATGCACTATCCGTCCCCGACCCGACCCATTATCATCCCTAAATTAAGAGAGTATTTTATGAATGCCGATTTCCAAAATAATTATTTATTGGATATCATTGTTGTGAAGACCAGGTGTAAATAAGACTAATGAAATGGCGAGAAATCCTCAGCTTGCACGGTTTGCAGTAGCGGAAGCATGAGTTGAAACTATCCATGTCCTCTTTTCAGAATATACATATAAATAATTAATAATTAAAAATAAAAATATCTAATTAATCCATTCATAATTAAAGAAATAACCGACTATACAATTACTATTTGCATAAACTATCACAATGTGTTTTCATATTTTGAAATAAATGCAAAATATATCCATTGTCTACGCTCTTAAGAAAGTCTCTTTCAATGTATCCCACTAAACAATTATTAGCAAATCGATCGCCAATTCAACTTTGAAACTTGTTTTTAATATATCTCAAGCTAAAAATATTTTTCTTAAACTTATAGTTGCAATTGGTAGAATCAAAACTACCTTCAGAAGCAAATAAGAAATGACATACAATTATGTCTCTACCATTACTCGAGATAATTCATCATGAACAAACAATTGGTGAATAATAATGTCATGAATGAAACCAATAAATCAATTAGTGTTTTTGTAAATTAATGAACAAGTAATGAGTTGTGGTGTAGTGACAAAACATTCTTTATGTTACGTGTAAGTGTAATATTTTTTTGGCAAAATACAGTTCCATAGCCAAAACTTTCACGTTTGTGCCAATAATAGCCACATTTGGCGAAATACCACTTATAGCCACCTCCGTCCAATTCTTTAACGCTGTTAACGTTAAGTGTGACTGGGCAAACGGAGCAGCTTACGTGGACCGCCAGTGATTTCCACGTGGCGAATAATTAAAAAAAAAAATACAAAACACGAAATAGCCTACCCACCGACCATTTGGTCGACTTTTCCATCTTACCTTATCTTCTTTCTCTGAAACCACCCACCCATCTTCCTTCGAAAGGCGACGAGCACGAAGCACCACGAAGACCATCTTCCTCCGACGCCCCACCTCCGACGCCCCCCCTCCGACGAACCCCTTATTCCTTCCGCCACCATCAATCTAGACCCTTCTCATCTCCAATCTCGATTTTCCTCGATAATCCGAAAGTGAACCTACCGCCTCCTTCCTCGAGAAACATAACAGAGAATGGGTTGACTAATCGACGCCGAGCTTTGGCCGAATCTTTCTAAGCTTCTTCTCTTCTGCATGCTTAGGAGGAAAGTGGGAATCGACCGATTGTACTCTGAAACCCTAATCTTCCCTCGAAGCCGATTTGTCCTCTCCCTCGTCAGTCGCGACTGGTAAGGAAACTTTCTTGGTTCTTTATTGTGGGTTTGATAGCTGCAATTGAATTCTGAAAGCTTGTCGAAAGGTTCTTATAGTTTCATCTTTTTTGGTTGGTAGCGAGCTGTAAAGGCGAGAGAGGTACAGGACAGAGACATCTAGGGACCACTGGATTCATTTTTTTGGCGAGTTTGCCCCCATAACTGAAGGTGAGTGGGTCGATTCTACTAGGTTAGAACTTGAGGAAGCTATTCGCCTGGACATGCCTGCAGCTCGCTTGAAGTGCTGGGCAGGAGAAATCGCGAAAGGAGAAGGAGAGGGTTGCGTCGCAATCGTCGTCGTTGCGAGTCGGAACAGAATCTATCGGAATCGGAATCGCGGAGGGGAGTGAGGATTCGATCAGAAGGGAGTAGAGGATTCGTGGAGAGTGGAATTTGGGGGAAGAACCCTAATTCCGAAATAGGAATCGATTAGTATAGGAATCGGGGAGAGTGGAAAGTTGAGGATTCGGGGAGAAGAGTCGAAATTTGAAGTTTGGGAGAGGAACCCTAATTTTTGTATCGGGCAAAAATAGGGGCTGAAGGATTGGCTTCGATGGAAATGGAATATATAGTCTGATTTTTTTTTTTAATAATGTAATATATAAGTTTTTATTTTTAATAAATGAATATATGACGTGTCAAGATGACGTGTCAAGACTTGCTTAGTTGGCGCTGACGTGGAAGTGTTCTTCTCGCCTAATCAGCAAACCGTCTGCTTATTTGACGGTGTTAGTAACGCCGTCAATGTTTCTAACGGAAAAGGCTATATTTGTCCAACAACATTTTCAAAAGGTGGCTATAAGTGGTATTTTGCCAAATGTGGCTATTATTGGCACAAACGTGAAAGTTTTGGCTATGGAACTGTATTTTGCCTATTTTTTTTCGAGCCCCAAGTTTACCCCTGTCCTGGGCAAGAGCAAATGGGGTTGGCTCCGCCTATGACTGTTTGGTTTCACTGTTACAACGATAACTTTATTCTAACCGCAACACATGACACACAACCATTCATCCAAAGTACGCTGACTACACTTAAAAAAACAATTAACAATAATAAAGTAAATTCTCTAACATATCGTTGGTACCAAATGAATCAATAATTCATTTCATTGTAAAATGAATTATCGTATAGAATTCATTGTCAAATGAAATCTTGTGTTTGGTATGTCATATTCAAATCTTTGAAAATATAATGAATTGTCATGTAGAATTCATTGTCAAATGAATTCATGTGTTTGGTATGTCATATATATATATAAGTAATTTAGTGAATAAAGAGGATAATTATGTTATTCTATTATAATTAGTAAATAGTTGTGGAATTCATTTGGAAATTCCATCTCAATTCCTCGAAATTGCTATAACTAGTACCAATTTCATAGAATTCAAAATTTAGAATTGAAAATAAATTCTTTTAAATATCAAACACAAAAATGTTTCATTTCAAAATGAATTTCGCAAAACTTATGGAATTCATTTATACCAAACGGTATGTAAGTAAGAAACATAACTTTTAAATTTCCCACGCAAGAATCATTCTTCCGCTTCTCTACCAAACAACTGATGTTGCAGACTCCACGAATGGCAATGGGGCAGGTCCGGAGTGGGTTTCTTGGTATCCAAACCCGCCCCGTGGCAGGTTGGATTCAGGTCGTGTAATTTATCATGGGTCGCGGGTCGGGGAAGGTGTACCCGATGGGTATGCAATTTATATGAAAAATATTAGAAATATTAGTTATTTTTATTATAAGACCGAGAAAACAAACAATATTATGATAAATGTACTTAATTTATTAGAGAAATTGAGGTTTTCACTAATTTACAACTTTATTATAGTTAAACTATGATGTAATAAAAGAAAAATCATAAGTAATTTGACTAAGATTACATGTAATTTATGCAAGAACGGGTCGAGAATGGGGCGGGTCAGGGTAGTTCGGGTC